ATTCATACCTTTGATCATGCATATATAGACAAAATGATGTCATTTACTTATTATCAACCTCCGCTTGATTTTATCAATATATAATAAATGATTTCTTTTCGATTTTTTTATTTGTCACCATTATTCTATCTTTAGAGAATCTAGTAAGCTAATAAATCATGACACAATCAAATGATGTTTCTTTGCCTGATATGACCAATGACGATGTTGAACTATTGAAAAAACTTGAAGAAGAGAATCGGTAATCAAATATTATAATTTTTTTTTTCCTTTTCATTACAGTGTACTTCAATTTCTATTGTGATGTTTTTTTTTTCTTTTACGTTTAAAGGCGTATTGAATATGATTTAAAATCACCCGCAAGCGCTATTCTCAAACCTATCGTTAATACACATTCTCCTGAATTACATCATAAACAAGGACGAAAAGATTCAATTTCGAGTGATTTGAGTAATTTAACAATTGATAGTGATGGTATAATATATTTGAATAAAATCAAAATTTTTAGTTTTTTCTTTTTTTTTTTTTTTTTGATAAATAAATATTTATTTAAGGTAATCTTGACAATGAATGGGTTATATGGAATAAACTGGTTAATAATTGGTCTTTATATATGAAGAAAAAATCAATATGGATAAGAGTAAATTTGATTATTTGAAATTAGATAATGAAATTTAATTCATATTATTTAGGATTTAATTCGATCTGGTGTTCCTGTTCATTTTCGTCCATTACTTTGGCAAAGTTTAACTAAAATTGATACAACAAATACTAAAGAAAAATATATTGAATTAATAAAAATGTCATCACCATGTGAAAAAGTTATTCAAAGAGATATATCAAGAACATATCCTGAACATGAATTTTTTAAAGAACAACATGGTCTTGGACAAGAAAGTTTATTTAATGTAATTAAGGTTAGAATATAAAAGATTATGATTTAATAGAAAGAAATTATTGATGTCTCTTGTTTTTTCAGGCTTATTCTTTATATGACCGGGAAGTTGGTTATTGTCAAGGCATGAGTTTTGTTGTTGGTCTTCTACTTATGCATGTTAGTTATATAAAAAAAAATATATACATATTTTAATATTGGATGTTTGTTTTGTATGATAGATGCCTGAAGAAGAAGCTTTTGCTGTATTGGTATCAATTATGCAAGATTATACAATGCGTGAAATGTATAAACCTGATATGTATCATTTGGGACTGTGTATGTATCAATTTGAATGTATGATTCAGGTATATTAATTATTTATGTATATTTATATTAATACTATCAATTAATAAATTATTATTTTCTTAGGAATTTTTACCTGATCTTTATCGACATTTTCAAGCAGAAGGTCTTCATACATCAATGTATGCATCAAGTTGGTTTTTAACTTTATTTACAAAACAATTTTCATTAAATATGGTTTGTCGTATAATGGATTTATTTTTAAGTGAGGTAAATTATTAAATTAAAAATATTTAACATTTTATTTTACTTTATTTTTTTTTTCATTTTATTATATTTATATTCAAAGGGTATGGAAATGATCTTTCGTATTAGTATGGGCCTACTTGAAATTCATCAAGATGAATTAATGCTTTTATCGATGGAAGATATGCTTAAGGTAACCTTTTGAACATTGTTTCGAAAGAAAAGAGTAACTTATATATGCATACGTGCATGTCATAATCAATCGAGCAGCTATCGCCATTTATATATGTATAACCCATCTTTTCTTTCCCTTTTCACGTAGACGTAATAGATGAGTCGGCGGCGATAGGTTTGTGCGTCAGCTGTTTGTCATATCATTGCATGTATTCTTTCTTTTATTCTTTACACCTATCATATAGTGATATTTTCTTTTCAAAATGAAATGTATAGATTTATAAGTAAAAAAAGAAAAATCCAATAATAACCTATGAATTTTTCGATATATTATATTATATTATATATATATACATATGTGCGCACTCAATCAAGTCAGTTGTGTATGTACACGTATTGGTTTCGACTCATCGAGGTATAGAATAAAAAAAAAAGTGAAAGAAGAAAAAAAAAGAGAGAAGAGAAAAAGAGAATAAAATGACACCATCACTGCCGCAATGATTTCATGTTGTATGTGTGCGCGCGTTTTGTTCTGTCCAAACGAGGGTGGAGACATTTGCAACTCATAAGAAAAAAAAAAGAGAGAAAAAAAAATAGGCATCCGCATCGATCCTTACGTTTCATCAACATACATTGATTCATACGTATGGACCGTCGTTTACATGCTGTCCAAGATCGTCTAGCCGAACACTGTGCTCAAACATTAAAAACTGTTCAAGGTTCTGTATCCGCTGTTACATCTGTAAGTTTCAAATAGTTAATATTTTAATGAACTTTCTAAACAACAACAACAACAAAAAAAAAGAACTTGAAACTGTCTTTATAATCAGTGAGAAAAAAAGGCATTTATTTGCATAATGGTAATGTACTCACCCGCAGGGTGATAAAGAAGTCATTGAACGATATGTACATATTCAAGTTCAGAACTTATTCTTATGATTATGCGATTCAGTTCTACGACCTTGTTGTCTATAAATAAGTACACCATTATTTTCATAAGATACCAATCAAATTACTATACAATAGAAAAAATATATGATTAATCAACCTGTCATTAATTATATATTTTAGTATTTTCAAAAAGAAATACCTCTTAAACATGAAACAGATCATGAATCATTATTTCAACGTGCATTTTCTCTTGAATATAACGGTAAAAAAATGAAAAAGTATGTAATTATATTAATGATTTTAAATTTATTTTGATTATTTTTTTTCCTATTTTGTATTTCATATTAGATTAGAAAAAGAATATACTGTTATTCGTAAAGAAGAACAAGACGAACAAATCGAAATACGTGTATGTACTTGAGAATTATTGCTTTGTTTTGTATGAATTATATTGGTTTTTTGTTACTTTCTTTTCTTTTTTTCTGTATTATAGAAACTACGAAATGAAAATCGTTTATTGAAGCAACGAGTTGAAAATTTAGAAAAAGTAAAGATTTATTTTATTTTGTTGCATGAATCAAAATAAAACACTTGTTGCATATATATATATATACTTTTTTTCTTTTATTATTATTTCAAAGGAAAGTCTTACACTTGCCAATCGATTAATTGAAGGTCAAGTATTAAATGCACAATATGCTGAAGAATCTTATCAATTAAAGCGTGAAAATTGTACTTTGAAAAAACAGATTGAAGAATTTTATCATTCGAATAATAATAATAATAATAATAATAATCATGATAGTAATAATCAAACAAAAAATATAAATTCATCAGATTTTCTAGTTAAATCCAATGATAATGAATTAGAAATTCTACAAGAAACAATCGATAGATTAAGTGATGTAAGTTTAACAAAAAAGAAAAAAAAATTCTTCTATTGTCATATAATAATAATAATAATATTCATTCTAATCTTTAAAAGGAAAATCGTCGTTTACAATCGACACCAAATTCTGAACTAGCATCATTACAAGAAGAATTAACTCTTGTTAAAATGCGTGATGCTGAAGCTCAAGTAAATTTAAATGAACTTCGGCAACGTATAGCTGATTTAAATCGTGAATGGCAATTTCATGATAGTATATGTAAAGCAAATCGTGAAATAAACAATAATCCAAGTAATGATGCTTATGATTTAATAGCACATGAATTAATATCATTAAAAATGCGTGAAGCTCAAGCTGATTGTGATAATAAACTTCTTTCACAAAAACTTATGGATATTGAAACACAAAAACAAGTTTTACATAATCAAATTAAACGACAAGATGATGAAACACAACGAGTTCGTCTTGAACTTGATCAATATCGAATACGTGAGAATGAATTACGTACACAATTAAAAGAAATAAAAAATCAGATGCATGACAGAGAATTAAGAGTAAAAGAAAAAAAATTGTTTTTTTTTTTCTTACATTAAAATAGCTTTGTCTTTTTCTTTTGTCTTTTAGCTAAAAGAAGATTCAATGATGTTACGTATTCATGAAGCAGAAAGTACTCAAACACTTGGTGATTTACGTCAAAAAATTGCTGAACTTGAAGTTCTAGTAAAATTTTATTTCAGAAAATTTTTAAGTATGTATATATTTTTTTTTGAATATAGAATCAAGAATTAATAACTCGTAGTCAAATTATGGATGATAGAGATTTACAAGAAAAACTTCTTGAATTTCAAGACGAGGTTTGTATTAAAATTCGATTATATATTCAATTTAAAGATAATTAGTTATTTTTTACAGTCAAATCAAGAGTATTTAAAACGTAGTTATTCAGTACCTATATATTATCATACTATATCATGTAATACAAAGTAAAACGCTATTTTGCTAGTTAATAATATAACTTTTTTTTTTTTGTCTGACAATATATATATGTATAAATTAATTATTTTCTTTTTATATTTATTATTTAAGGTAATGCGTCTGCGTTTAATACATACATTAAATCGTAAACAATCGATATCAACAGATCATACACGAATAGATTATGAAGATAGTGAAGATGAAAGTCTACCTTCATCATCATCTAATACTGAAAATCATCGTTTAAGTTCTTCTTTTGGTATTGATTCAAATTCAACTAAAGAATCTAATCATCGTCTTCGTCTATCAACACCTTGTTTATTTCAATCAACAGATAATAATAATAATAATAATACAATAACACAATGTGTGAATTCATCGACTTTACCTTCATCTTCGAAATTATCATCATCTATTAATAAAATAAATGTCGAATGAATAACATTGTGGTGCTCTGTTTTTTTTTTTGTTTTGTAAATAATTTTCTTTTCTTTCTTTTTTCTAATTGCAATATATGCTATTGTAATTTTTATTTCCGAAACTAAATGCCGGTTTCACGAGAATAAACGAAACAAATAAAAATTCCGTTTTTTTTTGTTTGGTCAAAGAAAAAACAAAATTCATTTTCAATAGTTTATTTTCTATTATGTAATTATATTTGTTCTTTTAATAAATAAATTTGAAGAACAATTTGAACAGTAAGCATCATTATTGTGTTCAATATAACGTTGATTTCCTAATGGTATAGAACAATATGTACATACGAAACATTCATTATGAAATGGATGATTATGATAGACTATACCATCGTTCGTAATTGCCTATGAAATAAATAAAATTATTCTTTGTTTAATTTTTGGGATTAAATAAAGTATTTCGGAGTCCGACAGACTTTAGAATTTAGTCCATTGCTCCTTTCTCTCTCTCTCTCTCTCTCGCGATGATAGCTAATCCGAAAGCAAAAAGTATTTTCATTTGAATTTCGTTTTTCTTATAGATATGACACTTGAAAGTTTTGAGAATTAACTTATTTGATAGTGCAGGACTTTTTATTTTTAGAAAAAAGATTTATCCAAAACAATTTATCAAAAACTTAAGTTTATTTTTTTGTTTTGATTCATTGCCAACCGTTCTCTGATGTTTGTATTCTTCGGTTGATAGTTAATTGAAAATTTATGTGAGATTTGAAAAACCTATTGACTTAATAATCAATTAGAAATTTGAAAATAGACGAATCTTTGTTTTTCTATTTTTAGACATTCAGATTTTAAATTTAAAAAGCATAATTGTAAATTTACTTAGAAGAAAAAAAAACAAAAACACAGAACAAAAATCGAATGAGAAGTCCATTTTTATTGGTAATAAATAGCAAAGAAGATCAGTTATTACGTTTCATCTGTTAAATATTAGTTAATTGGGCACAAATTCTTTTGCTAAAAATAAATGTGAATCATTCACATATCAAATAACCAGTCATACGTAGATGAAAATCAATTTACGATAACGCTATTGGTTTTACTCCTCTAGTGGTAATTTATTCTGAAAGGAAAGGATTCAAAATAATCAAACAGTCGATTATGTACTACTTAAAAAATCTTATCTTTGATATATATCACGATAAACACATTCAATAGATGAGTAATAAACAAAGTCATGAAGCGATGACTCACACCTCTGACATCAACTACTCAGTTGTGTTGAATATATGTATGTTAAATTAAGTAGTCTTATTCTGATATCCGTACATAAAAGGCATGAAAAAATTTCAAGAATCAATAAATTCCTATTACGTCCCCAAACTTTTTTTTTAAAGAGGATGAATAATCGTTACCTTTTCTAGTGCTGATGCCGTTTCGTTACCATAACATACACTTTCGTATTATTACTCATCTATGAAAAACAAGCATAGTGCGTAGGTTTTTCGATTATTTGTTCAAATGGTTGTTATTTCAATTTATATTTATATTACATAGCTTATGACTCCGTTTATTCTGAAAGTTTCAACTATTAATAGCGAGAATTCATTGAGAAAATTAAAACTGTGTCTTGTGTACTTGCAAAAAAAAAAATTAGTTGTTTGTCTTGTCGTTTTGATTTTTTTCACAATCATACAAAATTATACGAAACAACGTTGTAATTTTCTCAATAAATTTTCAGAATAAACGGAATCACAAGCTATATATAGGCAGTAAAAATATGCATAAAAAAAAACAATCGTCAAGAGAAATAGCATAAAAAGTTAGAGTTTATGCTTACTTTCCACAGGAGGATAGATCAATGTAAAATTTAACCTTGATATATTCTATGTGGAGAATATAAGATGTTAATATCTTGTAATAATTTTTACATAAGAAATATTATATATTGATCATACATTTGAATCCTTACAGATGATTGATAATCTCATGAAGATTTATTCATAGCTTAAATATGAATCATTAAGAATGTACTCATATTAATTCTATCTTTTTTGTTGGATAAAAATTCAAATTTTCTTTCGACTCACAAGAAAACTACCTTAAATGAAATCTATTCTTTGAGCTCGTATGAGACCGACAAGAAGATCTCAGTAAGATTAAAAAGTTCTAAAAAGGTTCGTCTCTATGGATCTTTCAAACCGACTTATCGCCATTTTACTGAATTTTCGACCAAGTTTCATGTATTTACCAAAAACATCAAATAACGGAATTTTGACTGATAATTTCGCCTATACATAGATCTAACCAACTTTAAAATATTCTGAACATTCCAATCGAAAGGAATATTTCTTGTTGAGATATTGAATTTTCATGCAAAACTCCATTTTTGTGACATATTTGTGACAAACGACTATTTATTTTTGAAATTCAATGTCTCAATAAAGGAACATTCTCTTCGACGGAAACTTTCAAGATATTCTAACAGTATAATCAAACCTACCATTACGCGATATCCCAGATCAAAATTTCATTATTTAATTTTTCAATGAATAAATAAAAATGATTCAAAAATTCAGAACCAACGGCGATAGCTCGATTCCAAAGGTTCATCGAGATGAACTGTTTTAGATTTTTTCTAGCCTTATCAAGACCTTCTTGTGAGCTGAATATGCGTTCAAACAGCAGGTTACAAATTTCCTCGTTTGAAAATTATGTTTATCAAACTTCGAAATATTTTCTCCTGAAGAATTCAATTAATACAACTCAAATAAGATTAACATTTTTTCATGATATTATATCAATCTCATATTTTTTGAATTATAAAACAAAACGAATATTCAATACTTTGTGACATTTAATACAATAAATAGCGACGAGGTTCATGTAACATGAAAGACAAAAAAAATATTGATCTCGACATCGAAAATTTTCATTAATTAATGATTTTTGACAAGCATTACATACAAAACAAGATTTATGATATAATTTTTTATCATATTGTATACATTTATCACCTAATAAAGAGTATTTAAATGCAAAGAAAAAAAAAAAAGAATTTATTTCAATTAAAAACTCTCTACCAGGTTCTAATGATCGATTACATCGATAACATCGTTCAGCAAATTCATTAATAAAACAATGACGACAATATAATTTTTCATTTTGATAAGCAAATTTCTTATTTATTAAAGATAAATTACAAATAGAACAATTAAAACAAGTATTATGCCAAGTTTTATCTTTAAATGTACTTCCCTAAATTACGAAAATAGAAAAAAAAATCTATTTTAATATATAGATTTTTACTTGCATTTCAATACCAATTATTTGATTACATTGAAAACAACGATTAGAATATTTTTCTTCGAAACAAAATAAACAAATAGCAAAATTATCTTTAATTACATAACGATTATTTAATAAATTCTTTTCACAATACCAGCATACAAATGAATCTGAACTATGTTTAATCATAAAATTATATATTAAATATGCGCTAAAAATATTTGTCAATAGATTTCACTTTGTATTTGAAATATACAAAGTGCACTAAAAGTTATGTAAATTTTGACTTCATAAACAGTTGATCTAACACACAGGGTGGCCAAAAACTCATTATACTAAGAAACAATTGAATATTTTTGCTATGACTCGAACGAATGTACTGATTTTTTTTTGTTACTAATAATAAAGACATGTTCACATTCCATATCCATAAAGATAAGACTAGGGAGAACTTGTTTCAAACATCACTACTGATCTCAACAAAAATAAAGAATTTATTTTTTCATAGATACGAAAAAAATTCAATCTACAATGAAGAAGAGTTAAGTTATCAAAATAATATGCAAATAATCAAACGATCTTTTGATTACAGCATGTCGTTCATTCATAAATCTTTTTGCCTTGGATACTGTTAGTCATATTTATGTATCAGTTCTGTCCATATTTGTTTTGTGAAATCCTATGTTTTTTTTTCTTATGAATCTCAGCACATCTACAAACGCACGAGCTTCAAACAAAGGTTACACAATAAATATAAGATAGAAAATGAAGAACAGACGAGAACAAGACTGAACAAAAAGAATATACAAAACAAACGTAGACAGAACTGATAGATGAATATGTGACTAACCGTATACAAGATAAAAAGATTTAGATTATGTGAACTATCAATATGAACTATAGCAAGGAGGAAAGATATATGAATGAACGACATATCTTGATAAATTGGCTCTTCTCGATTGTATATTAAAACCAGCCCGTTTGCTCGAACTGTAACAGAGATATTCAATTGTTTCTCGGTGAAGTGACTTTTCGATCATCATGTATATGTATATATTCTTCGAACAAGAAAGCACGAGAGCCTATTTTATTGATAAGATGAATTCTAAAATGATCTGACGTGATCATTTTCACGGTTAAAAAAGTCTCCGATGACATAAGAACAAACTGTTTTATGCAAATACACTAATGAGTTGATCATTTTAAATTAAGTCATGCAAATCATTGCAAAGTATTAATCGAATATCTGTATGATCTGAAGTTTATGATAACCATAGGACTTCATGTAAACATCAATAAAAAACGATGCCTTTATTTTTTCATAGATATTGGAAAAAGTCTAATTTTCATATGGTAATCAAAACTAATTAATCTATTGGGTTATACTTGATCAGAAGTAGAGTTACAAACATTTATAAAGTGATCATAAGTTTTGAGATACTCTGTAGTTACGATGTTCTAATTTGTTCATATAGATCGTTGACATGATTTTGAAAATATGACGTTTTGTTATCTGTAACCTCGTCGTGTAACTTCCACACCTTAGGTGATCATTATAAAAAAATCTTTTTTGTTCATTTAATTAGAATATCTAATAGTATACTTAAATGTAAAGATTTGATTATTGTTGAATTCAAAAAATTAATTGAAGATCCAATCAAATACAAAAAAAAAACAAAAATGATTTCAAATAATTAAACTGATTTATATAAATGGTCTAGGACATTTTGTAGTTCAACCCACTTAATAATATAATATAATTAGTTTCATTTACAAATATTAATTAATTTTCAAGACAATAACCGGATGATACCATGTAATTTTTTTTTCCATAAATTATTCTAGCTGCTCCAATTAAAAATTCTCTAATTTTATCATTATAGAATCTTGTCATTATTTTTTTCCATTGTATTCGTCACGTTTTTTTTCATGAAGTATTACTTATCAACCAGTATATTTTTCATTAACGATGCCTATTTAAAACATACAAGAAACTATTTTTTCAACCATTTGCACATAAGTCATAAAAATTTTTTTTACAAAATATTCAAAGTTATAATTAAAAAAATCAAGAACTATGAGTGATATAGCCACAAATCTTATTCTATCAACTCGTTGGCTTAATATTATTATTGGTATACCCTTATTTATATTTGGTATTATTGGTAATATTTTAACAATATGGATATTTACTCGACCTAGATTTCGTCATACATCTTCTGTTCGTTATTTAATAGCTTGTTCAGTAGCTAATTTTATTCAACTTGCACAAACACTTTTACCACGTATACTTACTGAAGGATTTAAAATTCCACTTATTAAATCAAATAGTGATTATTGTAAAGCTCGTGGTTATATAGCAGGTGTAGCAACATTATGTTCTTTATCTTTTCCATGTTGGGCATCATTTGATCATTTTATTAGTACATCACGAAATGCCACCACACGAAAATATTGGACATCAAAACAATTTGTTTATTGTGCAATATTCGCTACAATTTTATTCTGGCTTATTGTTCAACTGCCAATAGTTATCTTTACTCGAGCTAATGGAGAATCTTGTATTACAACTAATATTATCCATACTTATATTCAATCATATGGTATTACTCCATTGGTATATAGTATATTACCAATGACAGCAGTAATTTGTTTTAATATTGGTATTGTAAAAAATTTACGACGATCAAGAGTTATTAGTTTTACTAATATGAATACTCGTTTAGCAAGACAAGTTCGACGAATGTTAATACCTCAATTAATTATTCTTGTTTTATCAGGAATCCCATTTAGTATTCACTCAATTTATTCGTTAGCAACAATATCAATGAAAAAATCTTTAATTCAAAATGCAATTGAAAGTGTTATTTTACATACTGTACGACTTTTATTTTATTTAAATTATGTTTGTTCATTTTATATTTATTATATAATGTCAAGTGAAATTCGACGAGGATTTAAAAATTTAATTCGTCCATCAAATACAGTATCACCAGAATGAATAATAGCTTGACTTTCAAATATTATTCAAAAAATAACAAAAATAATTCTTTTTAGTTGTCGTATTTAGTTTTTCAAAATGTAACCAAAATATTAAATTAGACACAATAAAAATAAAAAATTTCTATATAAAATTTTTCTTTTAAGTAACATTTCAATGCATTAAAAGATATATTCTACTTGTTTGGTATAGAATTACGTTTTGTGAAATTCACATATAATTTAATCAAAATTTTCCCGGCTTTCACCATGGACTCTAGCAATCGGAGCAAAGATCAACGATGATTGAATACATTTTTCCATAGTAACCGACGATAACGGGCGTCAAGCTCAATTGTTCTAGAACATTCGAAAGTCTTTCTCGAAATTTAAATAGTTGAAATATGTTTTCGAAATAGCCTTCTCTATCATAGACAATTTTAGAATCAAAAGAAAGAGTGTAGAATTAAGATACTAATATGTGCACTAATAATAGAGAGGTAGTACCTTTTTTTTTCGTATCGTAGTTAATGTCTCAGCATTTATTTGTAATTGTTTTGATTCATGAGAAATATTGATGAGTAGTGATCTATTAGTTTGTCACACTCATCATATGATCTACTTATAAATTTGGAAAATAGTCAACATCAGGATTTTGTCAGCTTATCGAGATATATAATAGTTCGTTGAGATCAATTGTAGATATAATGAATATGTACAAGAGGTTTGTTTGCCAGTTAAATCAATGGTTAAAATAAAAACAATTACTACATTGTAGCTCCCACAGGAATTGCGGTGACAAGTTTTTTTTCTCAATCTCTTAAAAAATATTTACGAAGAAAGATCCTCAATCGATTTTTCCATACATTTGAGTGATATCTTATTCTATGAAAAAACCTAGGAGGATTTCGATTGATATGAATTCTTTTGATAGATATAAATATTTTTACTGTCGTATTAAGAGTGAAGTCATATCAACTAAACTTGCGAGAGAACCGTATTCTAACAAAATGAAGACATATTCTCTTTATTGAAACAAGGGTTATAACTCGCGAGAAGTTAAAGTGGTTCTCATACGAGGTTTTTTTTTATATGATTTCTCTTGTTATGAAAACATTCATATCTATTGTAAGAGACCGCATCAGTCCAAATCCTTTTAGAATAAGACATTCATAAGCAAAGAATAGCATGCATCAGTCGAGGACTTTCCCACTTTAGTGAACTTCACATATTCTTATATTAATTTTATTTAAAACTAATTATGAACACTATTGTATTAAATATTGTTATTTTCCTTGAAATCGATAAGATACTCTATCTATCAGAACTATCAACACTATAGTCAAATAAAAAGTTGAATATTATTTTGTGATAAAACCTTTTTATTGTTAAAATTGAATTATCACATGATGGATATAATATATGATAAACGATACTTTAGGATATTATTGAAAATGAAGATGGGAAGAATAGAATTAGTTCTGCAACATTTGGAACAGATTCTGTGTTTTACAGATAATTGAATCAAGTTTTTTCATAGTTAATCAAGCATAATTATAAAAATTGAATAATTTCTAACGAATAAAATATGTTAAAATAAGACACAATGCAATTTTCATATTTGTCAAATTTAAAATTGATTTCAAACTTTTCATATTAACCTTTTTACCAGTCGATTGGCCACTGGAATGATCATTTGTAGAATGATTGCAAAAAATAAACAAATCCTGAGATTTAAAAATGATAAAAATCTTTATAATACACAATTGAATTTTTCGAAACGAAATATTCTCTATCCACACTCAATAGGCATCTATTGGACTTTTCTTTATGATATAAATCGATGAAAAATCTCATTAGTGAGTTAAATATTTTGAAAGCTTTACAATAATTCAGTGAATTACACATACGAAGGTACACGATTGATTATGGAACCATTATTGGATAGTCAAGAACAACATTAATATCTGTATCATAAATCTCAACTTATGAGAAGTTGAAATGATATTTATTATGAATTAAATCTTTTTAGAAGTTTATAAAATGGTTCAAAACAAAGTAGATGCTTAGTAGAACTCATATATTCTTTTGACACTAACGAGGGAACATTCCCAAGTGTCACATCGCTTTTGAGTCGAGCGTATGTGCATCATGTAGACCCTAATGATCTATGAATACTCTGAAAAAAGTTCGTGCTGCTAGCTTATTACTGCCGAGATATTGCATTTTTACTGTATGCATAAGCAAAAAGCCGTGGTTCCCCTCAGGACCACTAGGAAAACTGAGTTTTGAATTTCAACTTGAAACTTTGTACAAGGACAAGTCTCAATAAGAATAGTTTATTGTGAAAGTTTCAGATCTTTTGATTGCTTCTAGTCTGAAATAAGAAAATCGGAATCTGCTGGTGTATATAAGCTGTTTTACCATAGCTGTATCTTAGGATAGGAACAACGAAAAGATCTGAAGCTTTCACAATAAACTATTCTCATTGAGGCCTATCTCTATGCAAAGTTTCAAGTCGAAGTGCGAAACTTGGTTTTTCTAGTGTTTCTGAGGGGGACCACAGCTTTTTTTTCTTAAACATACAATAAAAATGCAATATCTCAGTAGTAATAAGCTAGCAGCACGAAATTTTTTCAGAGTATTCATAGATCATTAGGGTCTACATGATGCACATACGCTCGACTCAAAAGCGATGTGACACTTGGGAATGTTCCCTCGTAAGTTCTACTGGTTCATTCCATCTTTTTTTTCTGTTATTACAACGACATGAGATTGATGTTACTTTCACTCACTCAATAATCTGGTCAAAGAAAAAAAAAACCAATCAAGGATTAATATGCCATTAAATAACCTTTGTCTGTTACGCGATCATGGACCAATTAAATGGTCGTATATGAAGATATGGACACTCAGTGGATTAGACAGGCTAATACTATTTATAAAGTTATTTTATCAGTGATTCTTCTGGAATCGGTGTGAGGGTAAAGAGTTAAACAAAATTCTACTAGGTGTTTTTTTATTCAAATTTAACATAAACAAAAAATTTAAAACTCTAGTCGTTATCATAGATTAAATAAAATGGTTTTTTTTTCTAATCCGATTTATGAAATAGACATTTATTGAAATGTTAAAGAAATCTGAGGATAATATATAGGGATATCGTATTAACCTTAATATTAAAATTGACCTTGATACTTTGATATCATTTGCATAAGAATTAATTTGATGCTAACCTTTTTGTATTATTTTTAATTCTAATACATATATTACCGATGACTAGATCTCGGATGCTCTAACCTCAGACGCTTCTGAAACCAAATAATTTTGTTATATTTTATAAATGACACTTCCGGATATAAGACAACGTGCTCTGATGTAGTAATTGCACATCCGTGTATAAAAAAATGTTTATTCTGACCTTGCAAATCACACTTCAGGGTATAAAGAACACATTTGTTCTTCTAATATAAACTTCAAAGATGTATTCTTAGAGATATAATCGCAAATATCATTTGTATTAGAATTAAAAATAATGTTAATTTAATTCTAATAGTTTGATATTAATTAATTTCTAATACAAATAATAACTTAATAATGAAAAAATAACTAGAAATTTTTACTTAACTTCTTAACCATCATTTTTATGTGAATTAAAAACGAACGTCAAACAGTCGAATTTTATTTAACAATTAAAAAATTGAATATTCATCGATTTTTCTAATATATTCTATCACACATTGCATAATTTATCATAAGAAAAAGGACAATCTAATTTTTCATATCATGCAACTAGAAGTCTATATTTCAAAAAGTAACAATCAATTTTTTTTCTCTATTATTTTGATATAGATTCATCATTGTAATATCACTATGCATAGGCGCAAATTTAATAATAGAATTTGAATATTTAAAATTTATCTCATTCAAAAAACTGTTGCGCTATAAATATTGAAGAATGTTTGCCTTGAACAATCAAATGTAGAATGATTCAATAAATCGTTTAGTTTAACATAAGATTGGCAGAAAACTGAAAAATAATATAAACCCATTAATTTTGAATTTTTTCATTGATTCTAACATACGTAGTCGAAAAAACGTTGCTGAAATTTTCCTACTTTAATTCTCTACTAACAAAAAGAAAATGTTGTATCACGTAGTTCATTACATAAGAAGATTTTTCTTCATTTAATGCAAATCGTTGACCCAAATACTTTTGGATATATACCTAAATATCATTAGATCGCTTATTCGTACAAAGTAGACTCGTGACTTTTTATAAAAAACATAATTAAAATTTAATTTAAAAGTACCTGCAGAATTTTGTTTTTTATCCTTGAATGATTAACTATTTATTCATAGAGTACAATTAGATATATTTGAAGGTCACTTTTACAAGGAAGTTTCTATATTTAAAATACATCCCAGGGTGTTAAAAAATGGCATTAAAATGATGAAATAAACAAAAAAATTGATGTATTTGAAATTTATCGATTAAAGTTAGACATTTTTCATTAATCTCATTGCATGACTTTAATTAAAAATAAAATTTATTACATTTGTTTAATTGAAATGTCGCTTTTCATCAATCAATTTGAAAACATCATTTTTTTCGTTTTTTTTTCATATATAAAATTCTTGAATGTCATGGAAATTTTTTGATTCCATAGGATATAATATTTTTATTGAATATTATTTATTTTAGAGACAATATCAAAGCAAAAAAAATTTATATATTTGAGTTCAGTAATTTATTTAAATCTTTTTGGCTTTTTAAAATCTGCTGCATGAAATGCAAGATTTTCCCAATAGATTCTTTTCGTACGTTGTTGTTCATCTGGATCATTTTGATCAGATGACATTAACAATGGTGAACTATCAATTCTTGAATCTAAAACTGTATTTTGATATTGTCGTATTGGTAAACGAACTAAAATATAAAACAAAAGAAAACTTTCAAAAAAAAAAAAAAAAAAGAATCTTTCTTCTTGTAAATACATACGTAAATAAGCAGCAGCTACCGAATGTGGCATAAACATTCTTTGATTATTATCAAATTCCGTTTGTTGACGTTCACCATAAATAATAGGTAAGAAATAAAATATAAGTAGAAGAAATGTATACATGATCATTTCTAGATAATTACAACGTTTTAAATCTGAAAAAAAGAAATAAGTAATTAGCAAAAGATCAATAGTAAGAGAAAAAAGCAAAATGATTATACTGTTTAACATATGATAATCTACCGAGTTTTATACATCATAAAAAATGATGATGAAGGAGAAATATTGTTTCAGAATATAAACCGCAATATCGTTTATTTTAAAACAGGAAAATCCTACATCCGATTACATTTTTAATATATATAATAATTTCTTACAATTTGATGATAGAAAGGAAATTTCTTTTCTTATAAAAGATGTTGTTCCATTTTTGGTTTTTTTTAAATTAATATTCTTAACAAATATAATAATTATTATAATCTTTTATACATATCTTTGAAATGAAATAGAAAGGAAAGAAAACAGTAAAGGCTACCGCAATTGAAATAATAATTTAACATTACAAAATATATCAGAAACTTAAAGTACATCATTAACTTAGTGAAAAACGTAAAAATACATACATGTATGTAGATTAACATAGGATATAAATCGTAAGAAAAAAGAAAGTAATTTCTTTTTTCTGTTTAACATTTTTTTGCACGCATATAAGATTATATTTATGTTATGAGGCGATATCATCAAGCGTAATCATCATGACTCTATGATAAGAAGAAAAATTTCATTAATTTTTCAATGAATATTCAATGAATTAAGTAATAATACTAATAGCTGCAAGATAAAGTAATTTAGTCTAAACCAATTGTTCTCTGGTGACATCTATTGCATCAAAATCATTTTCATTGGAATTCAATAAGAAAAACAATTTCATTATTTTAATTAAACAAAAAATTATTTTTCTTTCAATAAAATTATAAAAAACAAAATTTATTGGTAATACAATTGTCAATTTCTCTATTGATCTTTACAATTGATACAGTAAATGTAATAAATCGAATTTATTTCTCACTTCGTTCAAGGTCATATTCGTTTTTCATCATGGATTATCTTCAACCAACAAGTCGAAGTTTTTCAAATGTAAATTTACAATAAGAAAGAACAAATTTTTTCGTGTTTTTATTGATTTATTTTTTCTATCTTTTAGCGTCAAAGTCGTTCAATGAATGATGCAGATAGTTTTGATACTGATCGTTTAAGTGGTTCATTACAATATGATGATGATGATGATCAACAAGATCCAACGATAAATAATGATATACCTCAACCGATTATGGGATATGAAACAATAAGAAGTGATGATAAAAAATCCAAGAAAAAAGCAGTGAAATAAAAAATATTCTTTTTTTTTCTGTTTTTATTTATCTATTAAATGTTTATTCTATTATTAGGAAACAAATGAAAAACGAATACAACGTCAAAGAGAAAAAGATGAAAAAAAGGCACGTCAAAATGCAGAAAAAGAACGTAAAAAAAGTCAAAGTCGAACAAGAACAACAAATGAACAAGTTATAAATCGATCATTAAATATTAGATCCAAAGCATGTATTATTATGTTAGATGATACTGAACAATATGTTGATTTACGAGTAAATAGAATCTTTTTGTTGTTTTTTTTGCCTATACAATTTATTCAATTTTCTATTTAATAGAAAGATGATACAGGTAAAATATTATTTGGACGTGTATGTGAATTATTACGCCTTGAAGAAAAAGATTATTTTGGATTAACATTTACAAATAATGAAAATACTCGAGTGAGTTTATAAATTCTTTTTAAGAAAAAAAAATATTTATTTTTTATATTATTAAAAATATTTAGGCATGGATAGATAATGATAAACGTATATTAAGTCAATTGAAAGGTTAGAACATATTTAATTTGAAAGCAAAAAAAAATATAATAAATAATTTCTATTTTTAGGTGTTGATCCAGTTTTTTATTTTCAAGTAAAATTTTATCCGCCTGAACCTGCTTTACTTCAAGACGATCTTACTCGGTTAGTAGAACGTCATTTTAAATAAAAAATATATAAATTCTACAACACTTCACTCTCCCAGGCACAAGAGAAGGATATAAATTGTCGTCATTTTCTAAAAGATCATGAAAATAGTAGAAAAAACGATGATTGTTTGCTAGCGAACAAAAAATTGGCTGATAGATTATAACGAAATACGATGAAAATTGATGCAAAGCTATGCCGTTTTCGATAATCTGCCTGAGCTTGATTAATTTATATCAATAGTTTCAGAAAGGTGAACCAGAGACTAAGATAAAGGTGAAGGTGAAAACACATGTACAAATATAAATCGAAACCATAATCGATCACAATAAGAAGAATGCTCGTGCCTTACGGTATAGGCTGTTATCTAGCGGTAGATTCATGAGCCTGATATCTTCCCTACCATTATGACTAGCTCTAGCTCGGGACAGAAGGCAAGCCTCACGAAGAGTTCCTACGCTCAATTGCTTGAGCGACCCTTATACACGAACTAACCACATACTAGCCACAAGAGCAGGTATATGTCACAACATAGTCAGCATGCTATCGAACAAGTGATCCGAGACTGATAATCGTTAGTGACTTATGCAGGATCATTTCATGACTGGCAGTACCGGGGTTTGAACATAGTACTTAGTAGATATGTATTGAACAGCACAGCTATTCAGTCATATCGGCGATCTTAATAAACTCTTATAGATTTAGTATGAGCTTAATATTAGTTTCTTAGAATCATTTAGCTCATATATTGATCCTAGAAATGAATTTTTTTTGAAGAAAAAACAAGACAAGTTTTGAATTATTTTATAAGTCATTTGCACCATGAACATACATTTAGAAATTTGTTCAGTGGTTTTTAGGCCTATCTTTTTTTTCTAGACGTATTATAACTCCAATAATATTATTCATTCTATAAATATAAAAATTTTTATCATACAAAAAAAAAGGAAAAATAACGATAATAGTTATTCTAATATTCAAACTGATCATTCATTGATTAATTTTCCTAAAATCAAAATTTTCAGTCATGACTTGATTACAGGGGGAGGAAACAACACCTCTTACAACTGTAATGAATCTTTGTTCTTTTCCAGAAGAGTTGAAATTCTTTTTTTTTACATTCTATTAAAACAACGACATTCATCTTTTTCAAAAAAAATGACGACACTTCTAGTCATTCCAATTTTGATTACTTCGAACTACTACTGAAAAACTCGTTTCAATTTAATTACAATCCATTCGATCAGAGTCATAAGTACGATCATTCGATCTTTTAAAAAAACAATTCATTGTAGGTACCGCCCATCTACTTCAAATGTAATAACGTTCATTTTATCACAAAAGACAAAGCCTCTATTAAATTCTATGTCTTTAGATCAGTAATTGCATGTTTGAATAGAGAAAAAAAAAGGCATAATAATTTTAATAAATATAATAAACATTTATTTTGTCCTTGTTATTACATAAATTTGTGAACTATTTTCTATAAATGACATTTTTTTCTTGATAAGAGAATAAAATCAAGAATATATTTGTTGTTAAATGATCAATTCAGTGTAGAAGAAGTTATTTATATATTTTAAGTATACTTAAGTATATGTTATAATTGATTTGTACAGTAAAACATTTTTATAATTGAATTTTTTATGAAGTGAAAGGAACTTGTTAATGTCAAGACTTGATTTAGAACATAAAAGAATGCTAATTTTTGCCATTATAATAATTAATAAAAGAGTTGAATTTTTATTTTTCTTATTATCTGAAATTGTACATTGAATTTATTATATTTAGTTATCTTTTTATTCGATTTTTTTTTAAATAGATACCAAATATGTCTTCAGTTACGACGTGATATTCTTTCTGGGAAGTATGTCAAATAATTTATTAATTATAAATTTTCTAAAAAAAAAATTATCCTTGGTTTTTTTTCTCTCTTTCTGCTTTACTAAAAGATTACCATGTTCATTTGTTACTTATGCTCTATTGGGTTCATATACAGCTCAAGCTGAATTAGGAGATTATAATGAATATGATCATGGACCATCATATTATTATTTAAAAGACATTAAATTTGCACCTGTACAAGATGAAGAATTATTACGTCGTATACATGAACAACATAAAAGACATAAGTATGTTTTATTTTAGATTATTCTTTGAATATATTATTTTGTTTGTTTGTTTTTTCTTATGATTTTTTTTTAATTTATAGAGGTCAACCACCAAATGCAGCTGATTTACATTTTCTTGAAAATGCAAAAAAATTAGCTATGTATGGTGTTGATTCACATCCAGCACGAGTAAATATGAACAATGGTCTTTTCTATTTTGATAGATTATTTAATAAAATATTTTATAGGATTCAGAAAATGTTGACATTAATATTGGTGTATCAGCTAATGGTTTATTGATCTATCGAGATAAATTACGTATAAATCGCTTTGCTTGGCCCAAAATATTAAAAATTTCATATAAAAAAAAATATTTTTATATAAAACTTCGTCCAAGTGATGTTTGTATTCTTTAATACAAAAAAAAAATTATTTATACAAAACTGAATTTTTGCTACTTTTTTTTTAAAGTTTGATCAATATGAAAGTACAATAGGTTTTAAATTACCTACATATCGTGCAGCAAAATCCTTATGGAAAATAGCTGTTGAACATCATGCATTTTTTCGGTAAAAAAATTATGATTTTTGAAAACAAAAAAATAAAAAATAATTTGATTTTTCAAGTCTTCGTCGACCAGAAGACATTCGAAAACGACCAATTTTACCAAGATTTAATTCAACATTTCGTTATACAGGAACATATACATATCATCAAGCTCGACAATTATTACTTGATAGACCTAATCCTGATTTTGAAAGATCATTAAATAAACGAATGACAAAAAGTCTTGATGTTTGTAAGTATTTAATTTAATAATTTGTTCTTTTGTTTTTTTTCTAAATAATTTTGTATTTAGTAAACAATAATAATTCAGGTGAAAATTCTTTTGAATAGTTTTTGTTGCCTCTTGCTTATTAAACTCACCTTTTGGAAATTATTTTTATAATAAAAAAAA